ACGAATAATGTTCATTCCAAGAATCCTTTTAGCATCTCCAAGGTTTTTCATATCAAATTTATCACTTAGACATTTTTGAACATGCTCAATAGACTTAATGCAAGGACCGACTAGCAACATATCATCAACATATATGAGCAGAAAAACAGGAACATTTGCATTTTCTTTAAAGTACAAACAATGATCATAAGAACTTCTCTTAAACTTTAAAGAAAGCATGAACATATCAAATTTCTTGTTCCATTGCCTAGGAGATTGTTTCAAACCGTACAAGGATTTCTTCAACAAACACACATAATCAGGTTTCTTAGCATCCACAAAACCGAAAGGTTGTTTCATATATATTTTCTCATCTAATTCACCATGCAAGAAAGCAGTTTTAACATCCATTTGCTTTAATTCCCAATCAAAATGAGCAACTAAAGCAGGCATGATACGCACGGTGGTGAATTTAACAACAGGAGAAAATATTTCGGTATAATCAACCTCACGTTGAGTGAAACCTTTTGCTACGAGTCTAGCTTTAAACCTAACCGAATCATTTTGTTGTTTAACCTTATACAACCATTTGCAATCCACTAAGGAACAATTATCAGGTTTAGGCACAAGCGACCAAGTATGATTCACATGCAACGAATTAATTTCTTCACGCATAGCATTCATCCATTGCAAAGAATTCACATATTTAAGAGCTTCCTCATAACACTTAGGCTCACAATTATCAATGGATTTGAAAACACCAAAAGCATATGAAGTCATGTGAAAATCATCAAACTTAGAAGGTTTCTTACGCTCCCTTCTAGTCCTATCTCTAGCAAGTTGATAACCATGCAAATCAACATCATTTTCAGGCACATTTTCCACATATTCATCATGCACATCGACATTTTCACCATTTTCAGAATGCTGATTTTCAGTTTCAGCAGTTACGGGTTCATTTTCAGCAATTTCAGCATGTCGATTATCAAACACAGCACGTTCGGTTTCAGTTTCAGCATGCATATTTTCAAAATTATCGAAATCACTTAAACCACTCAATTGCTCCACCGCATTTGGAGCATTTTCAGATTCATCAGGTAAATGAGCAGGCAAAGAAGCAATTAAACATGGCATTTCAGATTCATTGAACACAACATCACGACTTATTACGACCTTAAAGCCGGGTACGCTTCTAAGCCACAATCTATAACCTTTAACACCATCAGGATATCCTAAGAAAATACATTTCATCGAGCGAGGTTCAAGTTTATCAAGTTTTGTATGACAAAATGCAGCACAACCGAAAACACGCAAGTTTGAAAAATCAATTTCTTTACCAGACCAAATAAACTCAGGACATTTACCATTCAAAGGCACGGAAGGAGACCTATTTATCAAATAAGTAGCAGTTAAAACAGCCTCACCCCAAAACTTTTTTGAAAGACCCGAACTAGACAACATACACCTCACCCTTTCAAGTAAAGTTCTATTCATTCGCTCGACAACACCGTTTTGTTGAGGGGTGTAAGGCACGATTTTATGCCTTTGAATACTAGATTGATCACATAATTCATCAAACAAATTATTGCAAAATTCAAGTCCATTATCAGTCTTAAGAATTTTAATCTTTTTACCGGTTTGGTTTTCAATCAAGGTTTTCCAAGTCTTAAATGTTTCGAAAACATCAGATTTATTTTTCAAAAGAAACACAAAGACTTTTCCTGAAAAAGTTATCTATCACAGACAAGAAATACCTACTCCCGCCATGTGTCGGAACACTAGCGGGACCCCAAACATCGACATGCAAATATTCAAGAATATACGAACACATAGAGGGTTTAGGGGAAGGTGAAACAGGAAATTTAACACGTTGTTGCTTGCCAAGTACACAAGAATCACAAAATGGCACACAAGATAATTTATCTTTACCAAAACAGCCCGCTTTATGCAAAATTTCAAGACCACGACTACTCATATGACCTAAACGTCTATGCCAAAGATCAGTTTGGTCCACATGAACAGCATTCACAGAAATTTCAGCATGTGACTCACAAGTAGCAGTGCAAACATACAAGTTTTTCCGTTTTTCAGCTTTGAAAATAACCAATGAACCTTTCAAAATTTTCATAACCCCTTTACCCCATTTACCCTCTAACCCGTCATCCTCAAGAGCAACACAAGAGATCAAGTTATGGCATAAGTCAGGAACATGACAAACATTTTTCAAACAAAGCACATAACCGGAATTAAACTTAAGGCACACATCACCAATACCAGCAACATCACAAAGCTTTTCATTTGCCATAGAAACAGAGCCATTTTTAACCTCTTTGTAGTTTGAAAACAAATTTCTAAATGGAGACATGTGAAAAGTGCAACCGGAATCAACAAGCCATTCATTTTCA